ATACACAAAACACGATAAAATGGATCGGTCGACACTAAAACGAGCCTAAAACTACAAAATAAAGCACACAAAACACACGAAAATAACGACAAAAACACAATAAACAACTCCTCCACACTTAAATCTTTGCTTGTCCTCAAGCAAAAAAAATAACAAGTAGTTCGAAAGGAGAAATCGAACGGTCCAAGATCAACAAACATGCATTATGTACTCTCCTAATCACTCGGTTATTTGCAAAATAAAACTCAAACTCGAGAGCACGGTTCCGACATGTGAATCCAACAAAACAAAAACAAGTCCCAAGTTATTCAATCATGATTTACTCAAGTCAAGCTCCCTTTTTACAACTAACACGTGCAAAAAACTAAAAATGGTCAACTCAATGTACAAGATGATAAAAACGAGACCATGAGCTAATTCCCCATTTTTTTTTCATTTTATTATTATTATTATTAATATTATTTTTTTTAAACGAGTTACTTTTTCCAAATAAGAGCCGTTAGGACAATTATTACCTAGGTTTATCCTCGGGGGTTATCCTCGAGTTTCCTAGGCCGGTTTCCCGTACTCCTTAATCTGGTTTATCTAGAAGACTAACCGAGCCAAGAGGTGGCCTAATCCTTTCGACTCTCACGAACTCATTTCCGTGAGCTTCTCTTTCCAAACGAAGTTTCCGGACGAGATGATCTAGGTTTAACCTCGAGGGGTTTCCTCGAGTTTCCTAAACCGGTTTCCTGGGCTCATTATCCCAATCCACGAAGTGGCTCAGAATAAGAGGATCATAATCCGTACTTCCTCGCGAACTCACATTTTATTTCTTTTTTTTTTCTTTTCTTTTTTTTTTAAAAAAAGGGGATGGCGCACAAGAGTACATCACATACAATATCATAGTCAAAACAATCTAATAAAGATATAACTCAAGTGTATAGCATAACACGTTTACACATCATCAAGCACAAGGCAAGCATGACCAAGATCATCAATCAAGAACGAACAAGGGACAAGAAAGCTTCGTGAATCCACATGCGAGTTCTAATGCCAACATGTAATCATCTCATTTTATGAAAATCGTCAAAATCATTGAGCACATAAGGCATGAGAGTTCATAATAAAAACGATCGACAATCCAAACTAGCTACTTAGTCATTTCCACTATTGGACTCACATCAAGTCTCATATGGGGAAATCGACACAAAACACAATAAAAACACACAAAACCGGTCCACGACTCAACAAAAACAAAAAATAAGCACCGAAAATAAGAGAAATGACGCCTAAGCATGCATAATCACGAAAATCTCTCCCCCACACTTAAAACAAAGCGATGTCCTCATTGCTTGACCCAAAAAGCATAGGA